GGAAATGTTTTAAATGGAGAGTGTGACAATGACTCAACATTCAATCGTTTACCTAATTGTATCCTGGTATCTGCCTGCGACATCCATCAACTCCGAGTGACAGGCCAGGGACTGAAGGCTGGGGGGAGGGGCGCCGACAGGGCTGTGAGAGGCTGACTTACTCACTGTTAATCCAGACCCGTGACAGAAAACAACTTGGGTAATGGGCACACCCTGAGAAAACCTGCCATGGGGGAGAAAAGACACCACCTTCCTGGTCCTCATCCCCTTAACCCAACACCTGTCCCCTGGACTAGGCTTTACCCCTCAGCTGGACTCCCAGGCAGGATACAAATGAGAGACAAATACATATTTATTCATTGAAACAGGGACAACATTTCTGTAACTCTGGGTCATCAAGTTGCATCTTCAAAGTTCTTTGTTTAGAAGTAGAAGTACTATGCGTTGGCAATACCTCTTGCAAGAGTCCAGAAAATTAGGCAGGTTTCACAATAGTGTCCTTTTAGGTCAATAGTATTGCTTCAGCAGAGATAATATTTCACAGATCTTTCCTGTAACTTCCAGAAAAGTCAGCCAGCCCGATTTCGGTCCAAACTTCTTTACAAAGCCATTTTCCTATGAGAGAATACATTTTTAAAATCAGCAGAGACTAAGTTTGCTGCAATAAAAAGCAAAGAAAGTTTCACTTAATGTGGGCGGTTACTCCTTCACTTGCATTCATTTTATTCTGTCGTCCTCACCACCATTCTCTATCAACTTCCAGGCCCTGCACAGCAGCACTGTGCAAGAGAAATAGTGGGAGCGTCACTGGTGGTTTTACATTTTCAGGAGCCACATTTTTAAAAGGAAAAATAGGCAAAATTAACTTTTAAAATCTATCTAAACTATTATGATTTCAATATGTAATCAATATGAAATTCATGATAATTGACATTTTTGGTATCAAATCTTTAAAATCCAATGTCTGTTTTGTACTTACAGCATGTCTTAATTCAGACATTTCCAACTGCTCAACAGTCACAAGTGACCAGTGGCTACCATATTGGATGGCACAGCTGCAGAGGACAGAAAAGTCTCATTTTTCCCTCTTTTTCTCTCTCTGTTGTCGGACACTGAAATTTGCATGTATGTTTGTGACTTGTGCTGAGAGTCATGCGGACTCACAATAAAGCCAGATTAAATCAGTGCCCCTGAGCCTATGAAAAGGTTGTCGATTGTTTCTATTACAATTCATTCTTTTTGTCACACATTGTTTTTCAAAAAGTACAGAATGTACACTAATTTACGATCTATAATTATCCAGCATCCTCATTGCAAAGTATCTTTGAGATCATCCAGCCTAATGCCCTTTTATTGGGTTGGCGGAAAAGTTATGATGCATTTTTGCAACGAAAAACATAGAAAAAATACATCATAACTTTTCCAACAACCCAATATTTTGACAGATGAGGAAACTGAAGTCCACACCCATGTTCAGTACCAAAGTATTATTTCTAAAAAGGGAAAACAGAAAACAACCCAAATGCCTAATAATTGGGAATCAGTTAAATTATGACACTTAAAACTGGTGGAATATCCTGCAGATATTAGAAATGTTAACATGAAATACATGAGATGCTGAAAATATTTGTAACAATGTCGCATGAAAAAACTTACAAATAACTGTATTACATATGATGTCTACATACAGACAGGGTGGTGGGAGTGATTTTTCCTCTTTGAAAAGTATTTTTTAATGATGCTATTTGTATCTGACAATAAATGTACACATAAGGATTCAATATGCTGTCAGTAATGTAGATTATACAAGGATGCCCAGATCTGGTTATTTCTAGGAATAGTTTATTAAATTGATCTACCTTGGTTTCAAGAAAGCCTGAAGCATAAAATAATACCTGGATCAATAATGCAAAAGTAGTAGACCCTCCTGGTTTTTTAAGCTGTAGGGAAGTGCCATGATGTTCCCACTCCTCTAGCAATCATTCATTCATGAAATACCTACTGAGCACCAGGGCACATGCCCGCACATGCCCGCAAACACCCCGGTGCCCTCACTAAGCCTAAATGCTCATCACAGACACACAGGAAATGGGTGAGCAAATAAATGTGATGTGATGTGCAGTCGTGGAAACAAGTAAGGGAGCAGAGCAGGGCCCAGGGATAGAGTGGGGCGGTGCTGAGATGGGAGGATTAAGGAAGACTCCTGTCAGGAGGCATCTTTGGAGCAGAGCCTGAGTGAAGGGAAGAAAGGAGCTGTGCAGACTTCAGCAGGGAGGTGTGGGGGGGGGATTCTTCTTGGCAGAGGCAACAGCAAGTGCAAAGGCCCTGAGGTAGGGTGTGCTTAGCTTATCCAGAGCTGGAGGGATGAGAGTGATTCCTAGAAAATGAGATGAGAAGTTCTTAGGGGCCAGATCACGTAAGGCTTTGTGTACAGGGGTCAGGCCTTTGTATATTTGTGCCCAGGGTGAAGAGGGTTTTAATTAGGCCTGGACAGGATCTAGTTCAAGCTGTGAAGATCACTCTGTGTGCTATGTGGAGAATGGACTGCAGGCCGGCAAAGAGGAAGCAGGGAAACCGGCAGGAGGGCTGGCGTAGCCCAGTGGGAGGAAAAGGGCCCCGGTGCTCTGGATATCAGTCTTTCAAAGGTGCAGCCAACAGGATTTGCTGATGAACTGGATGTGGGGTGTCGGAAAGGGTCAAGGGTGATGCCCAAGGTCAGAGAGCTGGCACTTAGGGAGGTCTCCTGAAGGACCCACAGGGAGATCTGAATTACATTTCTCATGGTTTTTCAGTAAATGACTTAAAATCAATCTCAAGTTAAAATTCAAAAGAAATAGAAGTTGGCCCCGAAACCTGTGTAATCAAAGGATATATAAGAATAAGTTAGGCTGTATCGCCTCACCACGAGATCATTACACCTTTTGGAAATGCCTTTGCAGAATTGAACACTCAGTCGATTATCTACATGTTTCTGTATGTCCTTTTATTTGCCTCAAATTGACCAGACCATTACTTAGAGCAAGATGATCATAAAAAACAACAACAAAAAACCTACTTCACCTAAGTCCTTATGACTCAGCTCCAAAGTTCGTTCACTCAATCGCTCCATCAACAAATACTTGTTGGGCACTTTCTGTGCAACAGGCCCTGTGCCAAGACAGGTGCAGTAAGCAGACAGACTCCTGCCTGGAGCTGAGGGCTCGGGCCCTCTCCCCTCCAGTACAGGCACAGGGCGGGGAGAGCCTCCTGACTCAAAGGAAAGGCAATCCCCAGCGGGTGAGATGAGGCGCATTCTACAGGGTTTTAAGAATGTTCTTGCATCATGAATGCTGAAAACAGCTAAAAAAAAAAAATAGCGCTAGACCTCTTATCAGATCTTGTGAGAGCCCAGGCATTCAGCACTTCAAATCGGCAGAGAGGACAGGAGGAGATAATGATAAATGTGGCAGAGGAATAAAAAGAGAGATGAGAAGCAGCAAAGGAAGGGAGGGAAGAAGGGAGGGAACTCATCCTGCTAAAAACGAGAAAGGGTAAGTGAGGAGCTCATGAAGTCCATCACTGCTGCAGTGGTCCTATTTTTTCCCTTTAGGGCATGTGTTTTAGATGGTAACTAATATCCACCTGTACTTGATCGTATAATTTATGGAGATGAAATATATTTATTCAGGGAAGTTAGGCAATACTACTATTACTACTACGAATAATAGCAAGTGCTGAGTATTTATTTGCAGAAACTGTTCTAGGTGCTTCACGTATCCTAGTAACTGACTTAAGCCTTACACCAGTAGCCTTCTCATTGTACGGAGGAGGGACCGAGACGTACAGAAGCTCCGTGACTTGTTTCTGTCACACAGTGAGCATGGGTGGCCAGAAAGGAAGCCAGGTCCATGTGCTTCAGAGTCGGTGCTCTGAACACCTACGCTGTCCTCACATGCCATATTCTCAAGTCTTCCTAACGTCTCTGGGCACATTGACAACTGAATTAAATGATAGGGATTCTCTAGTTGTAGTCTGGAGTCAGTGACAAGCAAAATGGACAATACACAGGACGACAGAGCCTGTGCTTCATCATCAGTGATTTGTTTTGAGTTTTCTCAGGAGGGAGCAAAGTGAGAAGTTGGTGTCTTGATCAAGTTGCAAAATGCCTCTCCTCTCCCCGTCTTCCTGTGGGCCAGCACAGGCATATGACAGCCAGTTCCCCTGAAATGAATCACTCAGGACAAAGCTCATTCATTTGAGCAGATCTGTCAACATCGCTACAACAGAAGATACCAGTTCACCCTGCCAGGAAAAGCATCCTGACTCAGAAAAGCAGGGCCTTGCATGAACAGAATCAGTGTCACGTGAGCTGGGAAAGGAGTCATGAGGTCCCTTTGAAATGACATCTTACACAGTGTTTCCATCATGTTTCACACCTAAATTGAGAGCTTGAAACTCACATACAGACTTTGTGAAGGCTGAGTGTGCGTGTGCGGGCCCACGTGTCTATTTATAGCTCCACTGGCGTCAGGCTCACCCTTCCACACTCAGACCGACACCTGCCCTGAAAGACAAGTCCGCTTCCAGAAATTCTCAGACAATTCCACACCCTCCACTGATTATGGGCTCCAGGAGCTCACAATATTTATTGCTAAGAAGTTAAATCTCACAGTAACAATGATCACTGTCACTTGGGAATACAGCCCCAGCCCACAGACAGCGTGCAGGCTCACACGTGCCCTGCTGGAAAGCTGCACAGCAGAGCAGGAATTTCCGCCCGTCCTTCAGCACAGCTTCCACAGCAACCGGAAGGAAACAGGACTCCGCATCTCTCAGGCTTCACCAG